GTGTGGATCGGGGTTGCCCTCCTGCAGCATACTTTATTATTATCGCACGTGAGTTGTCCGTGCTGATTATAGCGCTTGGGCTAAAGGAGCCCCTCCGGAGTCTGTACACACCCCCAATGAGCGCAGGTACCTACTGAGTGCGAGTGCCGAGTGCTGAGTGACTGGGAGGCATGAGTGATTGTGAGGTATGCCCGAGTGGCAAGAGTGATTGTGAGGTATGCCCGAGTGGCAAGAGTGATTGTGAGGTATGCCCGAGTGGCAAGAGTGATTGTGAGGTATGCCCGAGTGGCAAGAGTGATTGTGAGGTATGCCCGAGTGGCAAGAGTGATTGTGAGGTATGCCCGAGTGGCACGAGTGACTGTGAGGTTGCCCGAGGGGCTGTGATGTTCTGCCCGAGGGACTGTTTATGATTTTATCATTGAGTTACATTGCATTGGCATGCACACATGACATACATGCATAGAGATGTATTTTTCCTCATGTTGTACAACATCACATCATTCATGATTTCTCACACATTTTTGACAGATGGGCATAGTGATGCATTTGTTTTACACGGGTTATCCGGAAGGAAAATGAAACATCTTATTTATTATTGACAAGATTTTGGGAGAAATTTATTATTTTCAAACTATTTATATTATTGGAAACTTCGGCAAACGATTTGGGTTTTCACTGAGATATTTGAAAGGAAGAACTATAATTTTTGAAATCATTATTTGGCTGAGTATTTTATCCCTGAGTTGTTTCTGGTATTATTTGCTTTATGTTGTTATGGATTGTTATGGACTATTGGTTTTGGACCCGACTTGGTGGAAGCTCGTCACTACTTTCAACCTACGGCTAGGTTTGTTACTTACTCAGTACATGGGGTCGGTTGTACTGATACTACACTTCTGCACATTGCGTGCAGATGTTGGTTGTTGTTGTTGCTATGCTCGATGGTTGCGGGATTTGAAGATGTACCTGCGTTCCTGTTGTAGCTGCCTTTTGTTCAGGGTAGCCTTAGATTTATAAAAGCTCTGTTTATGTATTATTCAAACAGACTATGTATTTATTTCATTTCCGCTTTGTATACTCTATTCTTCGAAGCTAATGATTTGTACTACCAGTTCTTGGGGATTATACACGATTAAGACCTTTATTCACTTAAATTGCTTTAATAATTATTATTAAAATTGGATAGTTAGTAATCGGCTTACCTAACGGGTTGAGTTAGGTGCCATCACGACTAGTTGGATTTTGGGTCGTGACATAATAATAGCAAGATGGATGAAATGCCTCTCAACTCCATTCTGGTATGTGAAATATTTGACGTTTGGGACATTGACTTCATGGGTCCGTTCCCAATGTCACATTCTCATGAGTATATCCTAGTAACCGTTGACTATGTCTCTAAATGGGTCGAAGCAATCCCTACTAGGACCAATGATGCTCGGTGGTGTGTGAGTTTTTGCGGAAAACATCTTTACCCATTTTGGGACACCTCGAGTGATTATCAGTGACAATGGGTCACACTTTGTGAATAAGCATTTCGCTGCACTGATGTCCAAGTATCGGGTCACACACAAAATAGGAACCCCGTACCATGCCCAAACTAGTGGGCAAGTCGAAGTGGCCAACCGGGAATTAAAACGAATTCTTGAAAAGACAGTTAGTGTTTCTCGTAAATATTGGTCTGACAAGTTGGATGAAGCACTATGGACATATAGAATTGCGTTCAAAACAACCATAGGGACTTCGCCATTCAAATTAGTGTATGGTATGTCGTGTCACCTACCTGTTGAGATAGAACATAAGGCTTATTGGGCAATTAAGGCGCTTAATCTTGATCTTAGTCTTGCAGGTGATCACATGTTGGAGCAGATGAATGAATTGGAAGAGTTCAGACTGGACGGATATAAAAGTGCGCGGATCTTCAAGTAAAAGACTAAAAGGTGGCATAATCGTCTGATTAAGCCAAAGGAGTTTCATGAAGGGGACAGAGTCTTACTCCACAATAGTAGACTAAAATTATTTCCCGGAAAATTCAAGTCTAGATGGACGGGACCATATATGGTGAAACATGTATCACCATACGGGGCAATTGAGATCCAGAACCAAGACGGAATAGAAAGTTTCAAAGTAGGCACCAACTAAAACCGTATCTTGTTGGGGGATTTGCACAACAATCCTCAAGCATCAGAATCAACTAGGATGCCCGGTTGAGTCAAGCTGACGACTATAATTCAGAACTACCTCTAACCCTTCTGCTAGTTAGATTTTCTTTTTTCTGCTTCACATTTGTTCACATCATAGAATAAATAGAAATTAGTGTATACTATGATGTAGTAGGTACAGGAAGGCACATACTGTGAAAGTTAGAAAGTTTCAAAAAATAAAAATAAAAAATAAAATAAAATAAACGTGCGCGGCCGCACACTGACCGCGCATATGGCCGCGCATTTTCAGACCTTCACTGTCAAACTTGCGTGGCCGCGCATATGGCCGCGCATTTTTAGACCTTAACTGTCAAACATGCGCGGCCGCGCACCGGTCGCGCACAGGTAAGCGTTTTTTTAGTTAATTTTGGACCCCTCCCCCCTCTTCTTCTAAACAACTCCAATTT